GTTATTAGTACAGTGGCAGTGCTTTTTTTTTAGTACTGATAACTGTATTGGTGTCACTGGGGATGTCAGTGACACCAAGTTAGTTCCCCCCAGTGTCAGAATGTCCACCGCAGTCCTGCTAAAAGTCACTGATCGCCACCATTACTGGTAGAAAAAAAAATCCCATTATCTATACCTCTATTTGTAAACCAATTAATTTACACGTATTATGATTTTTTTTTAACAAAGACATATCGCAGAATACATTTTGGCCTACTTTTATGACAAAATTAGATTTTTAAATTTTTTTTACTGGACATGTTTAATAGCAAAAAGTCCAAAATATTGTTCTTTTCTCAAAATTGAGAGTCTTTTTTTGCTTATAGCGCAAAAAATAAAAGACGCACAGGTGATCAACTACCACCAAAAGAAAGTTCAATTTGTGGGAGAAAAAGGACGTAAATTTCATTTGGGTGCAGCATTGCATGACTGCGCAATTGTCAGTTAAAGTAACGCAGTGCCGTAATGCAAAAAACGGCCTGGTTATGAAGGGAGGTAAATCCTCAGGAGGGCAAGTGGTTAATATAATACAGGATTTGTATAGTGCCAACAACTTCTGCAGCGCTTTACAGTATAAAAGGACACAGTACATCTACAATACAATTCAATGCAGGAGGGTTAGGAGGGCCCTGCTCCAGAGAGCTTACACCATTTATGGCATTCACAGCATTATATGTTATGTACAATCATTTAGAAACAAATGGTTGCTAAAATGTGTTACATGCTGTTATATGATTTAAAAAAAAAATCTAAATATATTTGAAAGCATTTATCACACCTCCTGCCCACAAATTAATAAAGTGAACAATCATTTCAGTAACCAGAATTGCATGAAAAAAATAGCTGGATGCGCCATATCAATCTATTTATTTTCCTAGGATTGGATTTCCATCAGGACCGTTCAGAAAAATGTTGATGAAATCTATTGGTCTTGCTTGAAATCTATGTCTTTACATTAAAGCGGAGATCCACACGACCTATCAATAAATAAAAGTCAGCAGCTACAAAAACTGTAGCTGTTGACTTTTAACCACTTCCTGTCAGGACACTTTTACCCCCTTCCTGTCCAGGGCAATTTTCAGCTTTCAGCGCCATCACACTTTGAATGACAATTGCGCGGTCATGCAACACTGTACCCATATGAATTTTTTACCATTTTTTTGAGACAGATAAAGCTTTATTTTGGTGGTATTTATTCACCGCTGGGATTTTATTTTTTTACTATGTAAATGAAAAAGTCCAAAAATTTTGAAAAAAAAGTGTTTTTTTTAATAAAAGTTTGCAAAAAATAATATTTAATCATAAATCTTGGCCAAAATTTATTCCGTTATTTTTTTTAGTAAAAAAAAAAATCCAAATTAGTTTATAACCAAAAATTATAATTTTTAAACATTTTTTTTTACATTTTTATTTTATTATTTTTATATTATTTTTTTTTTATTTTTTTTTTTTACATACTGTCACCCTAGCAGTACAGTGTCACCATGGTGACACTGTACTACTTGTGTGAAGGCTTTTACACCCATATAAGTAATGAATCATTTTTTTTTGTCTGCATTCTTGCAGTCATTGAGAAATACTGAGTGAGCTGTGATTGCTCAATGAGTGAGCTGTGAGCTGTTGTGAATAGCCTTGTGCCATGTGACCTCTGTGATCATTCACAGATTTCACACGTAGTAAGCAATGATGTCACAAGTGACATCTTGCTTACTACTTTGCATGTGATCACTGATTTGCCAATCAGTGATCACATGATCGGGACCTCGTACAGAGGTCCCGTCCGACGATCGGTGTTTCACTGTGTCCGTAGGACACAGCGGGCACCGGATCGCGGTGGTGCGCGCTCCCAGGGAGCGCGCACAGCTAGAAAAGGCGGGTGCCATTTAGGAACGGCAACCCGCCTCTGGACTGCCACCGCCCTGCCGTTTATAAACAGCAGGCGGACGGCAAGAGGTTAAAAAACAGCCACTTACCTGTCCCTCAGTCCCGCGGTGTGTCCCCCGCAGCTTTTTTCACCAGCCTTCCTGTATTCCAGGAGGCCGGCATCTTCAGTGTGGGCACCCGGCTGTGATAGCTTGCGGCTTCACAGCCGGTTACCCACTGCGCATGCGCGAGTAGCGCTGCGCTTCGTGAATGGTCCTGTAGTCTTCTGGGACCTGTCATGTGCCCAAAAGATTACAGGGAGGGAGGACACCTTCTGTTTCCGATCGCCTAGGCGATCGGACCGGAAGTGGGAGCGGTTAACTGTCAAATTTGGGTACCCGTTCCCCCCTTGCTCCCCAAAGGTGCCAATCCTTAATGGGGAGCGGGGGGAGCAGTCCTTAAAGCGGAACTTCCCTCTTTTGGGTGGAGCTCAGCTTTAATTCATATATTCATTCATATTATGTGATTCTGTGAAGAATAGTTCAAACAGACTTTATGTGTATGGCCACCATAAGGCATTTGTGGTCCACGGGCTATTGGCCACCACATGGGCAAGCAGTGTGTCACGTACCTGGATAGTGAGCCTGCCTTGAAGAGGCAGGCCTCCCATACTACTCTGGCTCAAGGACCACTGATGGTGGAACAGCAGCCGCAGGGCCACGGTGGGGTATGAGTACCTGTGATCATCGTAGTAGTTGGTAGGCAGGTGAGCTGCAGGGCAGGCTGAAGATTGGGAGCAGGATCCGGATGCAGCCATGCTGGATGGAAGACTGAGGGGTGTGTTTTGAGGATGCAGGGTCAGACGAACTGGGTTTGGTAGCAGTTGGGCAGATCAGGCATAAACGGCAGGAGGAAGATTAGTTGGGGCACAGGTCAGGTCAGCAGTGGAAGATCAATCAGACAGGAGAGGAGACAGAAGGGTAATCCAAGGCAAGCCAGAGGTCAAGGCAGATAGCGGTCAAGCGGAGGTCAGGAACAAGCAGGTTCGGTATTGGGAGTCAATCACAGGAATCAGGAAACACAAGCAGGGATAAGACCAAATGGCAATGAGACATTTACTGCAGCCAGTTTAACCTCCCTGGTGGTATTCCTGAGTGTAGCTCGGGGTTAAGTTTCAGTACCAGAAGTGGTCACCCCAAGCTACACTCGGGAATACCCTGAAGCTTTGCTCTGGGATCCCTGGATCACTTACCTTGTCCCGTGCTGTCCTCCCGCTGTGTCCATGTCCTCTGGCCGATGCTGGCATCAGTCTTCCGGGTTCCATTCCCTGTGAGCGTCGGGACGTACGGGGGACGAAACCGGCGTGAGATTCAAAAATGTCAAAATTTTACATACATTTATTATTATATTGTTATTTTTTCTGATTATTATATTATAATTTAGTGTTTCAAATTTTTTCATACCCGGGATGTTTACTAGACTCTTGTTCAGACAGATTTCAGTGAGTTATTCCTAAAAATTACAGGCCTACAATATAAAACAACATATTTCCATTGAAAACAATGTACTTTTTTGAGCACAGAAATACTGACATAATCAGACCACTTTGGAGGTTAAATAGCCCTTTTAGCGCCAGCATTAATGACAGGCGTGCACCTGAATGCACATGCGTGCGCCTATCCCCAAGCACCCGCACATCTGCCCGGCTCATAACAACTCTGCGCATGCTCATATTTGTGCGCCGCGGAACTTCGCCTGCACTATGGGCAGACCTTTCCTGAAACAATGGCAGAGGTTCCAAGTAAAGTTCCAGCCTGGGAGAAGGAGAGAGTTTCATGTGAGTGTTTGATAGGTAAATGATCAACAATTGGGGGGGGGGTTAATATTTTTTTAATGGGCTCCAGGATGTTTATATCACAATGTACTAGTATGCACTGCATATTAGCACTTAATGGCAGACTTACCTGTCAAAAGAAGCCCTCCAGTGCTGTGCCATCACCATTCCAGCTGGTCCCAGGTCCTTCCATCTTCACCAGGTTTTCCTTCTGGGTTCGCTCTCTCTGGCCACTTGTATGGTAGGGCTGTGATGACATCACTCTGACACATGCGCACAGGAGGCACTTCATCACTGCTACCACTAGGGTCTCTTTCTTTACTTTCATGCCACTTTATTATAGTCACTGCCATGACCACCAATACAGGGGGGGGGGGGATGTGGCCGGGTTATTCTCTGCACTATTCCATGACCACCTTAACAGGGTAAATGGGGGGTTAACACTTTCACTGCCATGACCACCAAAAGGGGGAAGGGGGTTAACACTTTCACCATAGCCATAGCCAGGGCCGGCAATAGGGTGGCAAAACTTCAGCCAATCTGTGAAGAAGAGGTATCCAACGGGAGGGGGGGAGAAGAGGATAGGAATGGGGTAATTAACGTTTACTGCCATGACCACCAATGCAGAGGAGGAGAGGAAGTTTATTTTTTCTGCCATGACCACCAAAGGACGGGGGGGGGGGGGTTACATTTTACTGTCACTGACCAACAATGTAGACGGGGTTAAATCTCAATGCCGCCGACCACCAATGCTGAACGTGGGTGATTAAACTCCACTGACACTGGCCAATATGGGGGGGTTAATAGTACTGACACCAGTGCTGGTGGCTATTATTGCAGTCACTGGCACCAGCACTGAGTGTTGTTATTGCATCCACTGACACCAATGTTAGGGGTTATTACTTTGTCCACTGATACCAATGTTGGGGTTATTATTGCATCCACTGACACCAATGCTAGGAGTTATTATACTGCAACTTCTTCGGTGTGTATTGCGATACACTGCAAAAAATGCAGGTGGAATAAAATTTTGGGGTGTTGAGGTATACAAATGCACAGAAACTACTACAGTGATTTCCACCTTCCACAGGGATCTCACAGGTATGGAATGTGCAAACGTTTATTGGTCCAAGTGGGAGCAATGCAACTATGCTATAATATCAATACTTGGATAAATTCATCTTTAAAAAAACAAATAAATGTACATTTTTTGCAGGTAAAAAAAATGTGCATTTATTATTAATTTTCTAAGGAGCCTGCAGACTAATAGCTGTCTGTCCCTTACCTCTGATAAGGGCAGGCTGTTACTGGAGAGCAGGAAGATCAATGAACTACAAGAGTGCTCACCAGTGCCTTCATAGTTCATTGACAGCTACAAACCATCAACCACACTGGCTGACATTGTTTATAGTCTACTCATTCACAGGAAACTGTGAATGAATGATACAGCCGCGTGGGTGGAGTCCTGCATGGCAGTGCTGTTTTCAAATTGTGACAGCGGAAGCAGGGAGAGGATCCCTTTGCCCGCTGTCACGAGGGGGTGGATCAGGGGGAAAGGGGGTGCATGCTTAAAACATTACATGTATACACCCTAAATATGGGTTTAACATGTAACATGTTAAGAAAGGTGAACCTAGTCTTTATTTGTGTGAATGTTGTGTGTGCGTTTATTATATGTGTATTTTTGATATATTTGTTATTCATTTTTGAAAATATTTTTATTACACTTTCACTATTTCCCCCAGGGGGGATTTTCAAATCCTGGTGAAAGTGTGCATGGCTGCTGGCTGGTCCCTTATATGTATGATATCTCCTCTGTTCATTGTAGATGGGGACAACAGAAAGGGAGTTCTTGATCTCCTTCTCTCCACTGGACTAGAAAGTGCTTAGTACTGATAGAAATAAGGAGGCTGCCATTTCTGACCTCCGTTAAAAAATGCTTGTTGCCTTGCTGGCTATGGCTTCAATACATTCTGAATCATTACCGTGGAACAAGTAAGCGGATCAGGAAAGTCATAACGATGTCATAACTTTTGATCTTTGATCTAAAAGGGTTCATGTTTTCCTGTGTTTGATGAGTGTCTGAAACTCCGGTCAGCAAAATCCCATTGACTTCAGTTAAGTAGTGTGTAGAGGCTATTTTTGACCTGTATTGTGTTTTTTCAGATAGAACATATTGAGGTGCAGTTCGAACTGCAGGTAAAGTAGATCACATATTGAACTAAGCCCTAATTGTAAATCATCATCTTTGGTAAATAACAAATTTATACTGGACGAGGGTGCGTTTCCCTATGCACCATCTGGCCAAATGATGAATGTAAAATATATAACCTTTATTTAAATATATAGAAAATGTATGCTCAGCTGTAATTAATGCCTATTGGAGTGGAATGTACTGCGCACAACAATATGACTGCATTGCAATTTACCTTACATCCAAATGGTTAATAACACCAGACCAAATCAAATATCATACCGTTTTAGATGTAGTGACAGCACTGAGGCACTGTAGTTTGATCATAAGCCTATCAGCTTGAATATATAATCTCTGTTAAGGAAATGGAGTTACCCCATGGACAAAACTAATTAGATAGTATAATCTATCTTGCTACAGATATGTAATATGGGTACACACATCCACAGGCTTACATGTCAGCCTCTCATGTAAAAGCCCCATACATCACCATATCCAGAGAAAAATACTTCACTGTTTTGAGGAATGCATATGATGCACCATAAAATGCAGTACAGACCTCTCCAAAAAAAAAAAAAAAAAAAAAAGGGGGGGGGGGAGGAGTGAATACCATGTGCATTAAAAAAATGATCCCAAAGAAAGACTCCCCTGTAGCAATCTTGCACTCAGATATGGACGCAGTGCCACCATTTTGTCAAGGCACATCCAATTTGATAAGAGCATACATTTCTCCCTCAATCCTTCATTCCCTACCCCCTTCCTTCCTGAGAGGCACAGGGACAGATGTGTAAGTGTTAAAGGTTGCTGGCAGGCTGGAACAGCAGGGGGCCCAGAACTACAAAGCCCCGCCATAGAGACAGCAGACTCTCTGTCCAAGGGACCTGTGTGATTTCACACCTCGGGGAAGGATGGCAGAACCTTCTCAAGAGTTCAAGGCATTCCCCAGAAGCACAAACAAGATAAATCTTTTAACAGATCTGGTTTTCCCCTATGTTTCATGTCATGGATTATGACAGATGTTGGTTCTAATTCAGAGGTCGCCTGACTGACCCCTCCCTAAACAGCGTATTGGTCAGTTACTTAGAGCCATTCCCCCTGCTGGGGGACTTTTAAAAACTCAGGTGACAGGCCTAAAGAGTTAAGCTAAAGAGATCTCCTAATTTTAACATCGTAACAGCAGGAGATCAAAGACCCTTCCCTCTGCAACTTGGATCTGCTACCTCAAGGCTTAACATGGCAAGTAACTTAACCTTTTAACTTCTCCCTGTTATCTCTTGGCTGTGATATGCTGTTTTTATATATAAATATGTATATATATAGTTACATTTTCTTTGTAAATATTTTATCGCACCTGTTTCACTCTTTTAGTAATAAATCTTTCTTTCTGAAAGTGTTAAACTGTTTCTAAGCGCTTACTTGCAATTCACGAATTCCTGCCTTTTGAAGAGATGCTACTGTGTTTGTTTAATCCTCTGCCCAATCGGCCTGCGGTGACCGTATTGGACAGGAGACTTTACAACCATTACAGTGCATATTGGATAAAGAGAGTTTCCCCTTTTGCTGTACAAAAAGGGGTGGTGGCAGTGAAGGGTTAGTTGCGTAATTAACCCAACCCAGTAACAAGCGCATTCAGGCTGTTGGTGCGTCGATTGCGTTCCATTAGCTGGACAATCGTGCAGAGCGCAGCTGAGTGTGGCATTGTTACACACGTCACATCGCAGTTTTAGATAGGCCGGTCCTTTGGTCACGAGTTTGGTGAGAAGGTCTGGGGACTGCCGCCGCGGGCATGACGTATTATTGTTGGTCGCGGTCATGAGATTGTCGCATGTTAAGGGTGGCGATCGGGCGACCGTGACACCCCCAAAAAAAAGAAAACTACATATTTCGCTCCAAAAAAAAAACCAGATCTTCGTCAGGAGTATAAAGAATAAAATAGGTCACATAGTGGCTAGAAGTTGTGCTCAGCTGCACATGGTATCTATCGTTTGAGATATATATATATATATATATATATATAGTGACAGTAGGCAGGTGAAATCCCCTGGTTGCGTCCTGGATGGACGATACATTTTGTCCAAGGTTCAGACTCTATGGGGATTTGTTCCACTAGAGGGAAGTACTGAGTCCTTCAGCACTGAGGTAATGAGCCCAGCTGAAGGTAGTGGGCTCATTAAGGCCATTATAAAACTTCCCAGCTTGCTTAGGGAGTTGCTCCAACCTGGAACCAGATCTGTGCCTGAACTGACTGGGGAGCAAGTATCTGATCTGTGTGCAGGGAGACAAAAGCCTGTGTGGCTAGCCTCCAACTACTAGCAACTAGGTATAGCATCAGTCTGTACCTAGTGGGTAGCTAGGGAAAGCTGTTGGTACAGTAAGTAGCCAAGTTGGCCAGGATTTAATTTGATGATTCTTTTTGGTTTGGCATTTTTTGTACATAGTGTAAATAAACTGCACCTTTTTTGTTTTTCACCTCCACTGTTGTTGTGCTGTGCCTGTGTTTTTTGTGTTGTGCACCCATCCAGGGGGTCACACACACCCACTGCTGAGCTAACCCTGTTACTATATATATATATATATACATACATACATACACAGAGAGAGAGAGAGAACCATCAAAATGGACCCCACACATGCTCAGTTTCAACAGACATCATCTTGTGGATAAAGTAGGTCGCATGCAGCCTTTTCATAATCAAGCTGCATTTTCCATTCAACCACATGCATTCGTTCATGTAGAAACAGCTGTGTTTGACAAGAACACTCATCTACATGAACCCTACTTGCTGAAGATTAGTGATTGGGCAGAACAGTGGATAAACGATTAGCACTTCTGCCTGTCAGTACTAAGGGACCTTGGTTTAAATCCCAGGGATTAGGATCCTGTCTAAATTGGCCCTAGTATGTGTATAAGAATGTAAATTAGGGATCTTGGATTGTACACCCCTTGTGGGTTAGGGACTGATGTGAGTGTACAATATATATGTAAAGTGCTGTGTAAATTGATGGTGCTATGTAAATACCTGAAATAAATAATTCAGAAAGACATAAGAAGTTCCTATCACATCTATGTAATATGACAGTGTGTGCAGTTGCTCAAAACTGGTTACTGTGGGCTACTGCACACTACCATAATAAAGACATTTATTATTGTAAAAAGTGATGATTCCACATGCGCCTATTCTATAATGTAAAAGCACTCACATGTGGTGCTGGGAATGGCAGTCATGAGTCAGGCCAGAATGTCAGCAATGTAAGAATGTGAAGAACATGCAAACTTGCATTGCGGAAGATGGTCCTGAATTTGATCCCTATTTAAGCAGGATGGCAGACACCACCCAAATGTATAGGAGGGGGTCTTTTTGCAGCTTTTCACTTCAATGACACCAGCAGTGCAAGAGTATAAATAGACATCAGAGCTCTGTGAACATCATCGGAAGCTTGGAATTTACACAGAATCAGGTGACATTAGTAGTTGTTGAACTTGACCAAACACTGTTTAAAGCTTAAAGTGTTACTAAACCCACAACAGCAAAATCAGTCTGTATATGCAGTAAAGCATGCTTGTTATACTCACTGTGGAACCTGAGGGGTTAATCCTGTAAAAAAGGATGTTTGATCCTAACTTCTCTGATCCTTTCCTTCTTCTACTGTCCCCAATCCATCTTCTAATAGAACAGAGCCTTGGGGCAATCTGCACATAGTCAGCTTGATCTGCATTGTTCGAGAGTTTTTTTTTTTTGGGGGGGCGAGTGCATGTGATCAGCACGGGGCCAATCAGCACTGTCGAGACAGTGGTCAGGGGTCCTGCAGCCTCATAGGACAATCAGGGGAGAATGAAAACTCCTCCTACAAGCTTTAACCAGTGTTCTGCTGGACACTGATAGAAGTCACAAGACTGCTCTAACCACCATTGAGAAGGTATTAAGCAGTTTATATTTACTAAAATGTTATCCCTCTTGTATTGAACTGTATTGTTGCTGTATTGTCTCCCGTTATATTGTAAAGTGCTGAGCAAACTGATGGTGCTATATAAATACTGTATAATAATAATAAAATAACTGCATCTCCATGTTCTGTGCACTGTGGGTGACCAGTTATAGTGAATACAGGCCCCGGGGTTTAGTAACACTTTAAAGTACATGTGAATAATAATAAACTTTATTGTATATAGCACCTTTAACCACGTGACCTCTTGAGGATTTACCCCCTTTCCTGACCAGACCATTTTTTGCATTATGACGCTGCATTACTTTAACTTACAATTGCATGGTCATGCAACTCTGCACCCAAATGAAATTTAAGCTTTCTTTCAGTGGTATTTGATCGCCTGTGGTTTTTTTTTTTTTTGTACTATAAAAAAAAAAAAAAAAAAAAATTTTGAGAAAAAAAAAATATTTTTGACTATTTGCTATTAAACATGTCCAATAAAAAAATCTAATTATATACACTGCTCAAAAAAAATTAAAGGAACACTTTTTAATCAGAGTATAACATCAAGTCAATTAAACTCCTGGCGTATTGATCTGGTCAGTTAAGTAGCAGAGGGGGTTGTTAATCAGTTTCAGCTGCTTTGCTGTTAATGAAATTAACAACAGGTGCACTAGATGGGCAATAAAAAGATGACCCCCAAAACAGGAAATGGTTTTACAGGTGGAGGCCACTGACATTTTTTCTGACTGTTTTTCACTAGTTTTGTATTTGGCTAGGGTCAGTGTCACTAGTGGTAGCATGAGGCTACACCTGGACCCTACAAAGGTTACATAGCCAGTCCAACTCCTCCAGGATGGCACATCAATACGTGCCATTGCCAGAAGGTTTGCTGTGTCTCCCAGCAGTGTCTCAAGAGCATGGAGGAGATTCCAGGAGACAGGCAGTTAGGAGAGCTGGGCAGGGCCATAGAAGGTCTTTAATCCATCAGCAGGACCGGTATCTACTCCTTTGTGCAAGGAGGAACAGGATGAGCACTGCCAGAGCCCTACAAAATGACCTCCAGCAGGCCACTGGTGTGAATGTCTCTGACCAATCAATCAGAAACAGATTTCATGAGGGTGGCCTGAGGGCCTGACATCTTCTAATTGGCCCTGTGCTCACTGCCCAGCACCATAGAGCTCGATTGGCATTTGCCATTGAACACCAGAATTGACAGGTCCACCACTGGCACCCTGTGCTTTTCTCAGATGTGTGCAGATTCACCTTGAGCACACGTGACAGGGTCTAGAGAAGCCATGGTGAACATTTTGCTGCCTGTAACATTAAGCATGACCATTTTGGTGGTGGGTCAGTGATGGTCTGGAGAGGCATATCCTTGGAGGGATGCACAGACCTCTACAGGCTACACAATGACACCCTGACACCTTAAGTATCGGGATAAAATCCTTGGACCCAATGTCAGTCCCTACACTGGTGCAGTGGGTCCTGGGTTCCTCCTGGTGCACGTCAATGCCCGGCCTCACGTGGCGAGAGAATGCAGGCAGTTCCTGGAGAATGAAGAAATTGATAACATTAAATAGCCCCTACGCCTGACTCAAATCCCCTGACCTCTGTCTGGAGAGTGCTGATTGGCCCTGTGCTGTTCACATACACTCTCCCAAGAAAAAAAAAAAAACCTTCTCTAGCAGTACATACCAAACTGAGCATGTGCATGTGGCTACAGGTTCAGTTTGTTTTATCAGGTGGACATTTGAACAAGAGGAGGGGCAGAGAAACAGGATCAAATGGCCTTTTTACACAATGCAGAGGGAACCCTTAGGTTTCACAGTGAGTATAACAAGCGTGCTTTGCTGCATATACAGACTGATTTTACTGCTGTGGGTTTTTTGTAACACTTTAAGTAAAATACCTTTTTAGGGGTACCCTAGGCAAGCATTTATTCATGATTTTTCCTCTCCCCTTAGTTCAGCTTTAATCCAGTGTGAGTCCACATACACAACATAAAACATAAGATAACATAACGCAGCACACCGTAACACAACAAACATAACATAAAACATAAGATAACATAAAGCAGCACACCACAACATAAAACCTAAGATAACAACGCAGCACACCACTACATAAAACCTAAGATAACGCAGCACACTACAACATAACATAACGCAGCACACCACAACACAACATAAAACCTAAGATAACAACACAACAAACATAACATAAAACCTAATATAACAATGCAGCACACCACAACATAACAACACAACAAACATAACATTACTTAGCACACCACAACATAACACAACAAACATAACATAAAACATAAGATAGCATAACGTAGCACACCATAACATAAAACATAAGATAACATAACGCAGCACACCACAACATAACACAATGTAACATAACAGGGCAGAAAGGGACGGGTTTGCAGGCAGACACAGATTGACATGCAAAACTACAAAATGTGTAATTTTGCATATTTAAGGTATTCACAAAAAAAGTTAGTGGTAAGAATTTTGCTAATGAGGGATGTTTGAACCTGCATAGAAAATCTACTGTGTGGTCCTCACCAGTGTTATTATGTTGTAAAGCACCCAGTGACCACATCAGCTAAGCAGATAATAACTCGGCCTTATATGACGGCAACTGTCATTAGCATACTTTAGGAAGTAAATCAAAGCAGTTGTGTTGCCCATCCTGCTAATGTCCTGATATTAACTCAGGTAAGCAACAAGCAGGTGGAGAACATGAAAGAGTTTGTTCCACAATCTTTGGAGAATGTTAACCCCTTCATGACATGGTAATACATATATGGGGGGTCCAGGAACTGGGCTTTAAATGCATACATGTGTGCTTGTGTTTGTGCTGAGAGCATGCTTGATCGCAAACTTCCAACACAGAGACAGGGCTGTCGGTGACATGTTGAGAATTAACCCCCTTAGGTTCCACAGTGAGTAAGTTAAATTGGTAGGTTTAGTTCTGATTTAAAGCAGGACGTTCTTCTGCAAAAAAGCTTCTTACCTACTGCAGCTTAGTATTCAATCTTGGCAAAGTCTTGGTGTCAGGATAAATTAACCAGTTCAAGCCTTGGCCAATTCTGCTCAATCAAAAACAAGATCCCATAGTAAAAGCACTACATATTACACACATTAACACTTATTAGGCACACAGTTAACCCCTTGATTGCCCCTAGATGTTTACCCCTTCCCAGCCAGTGTCATTAGTACAGTGACAGTGTATATTATTAGCACTGATCACTGTATTGGTGTCACTGGTGATGTCAGTGTCAGTTAGCCAGTTCCCACAAAGTGTCAGTTAGTGTCAGATTGCCTGCTGCAGTATCACAGCCCTGCTATAAGTTGCTGATCGCAGCCATTACTAGTAAAAAAAAAAAAGGTAAAAATTCCAGTATATATCCAATAGTCTATAGAAGCTACAGTATAACTTTCATGCAAACCAACTACTATACACATATTGGTATTTTTTTTTTACCAAAGACATGTAGCAAAATACATTTTGCCTAAATTTATGAAGAAATTAGATTTTTTTAAATTTTTTATTGGATATGTTTTATAGCAGAAAAGTAAAAAATATTGTGATTTTTTTTCCATAATTTGAAGACTTTTTAATATATATAATAAAACATAAAAACCCCAATTGTGATCAAATACCACCAAAAGAAAGCTCTATTTGTTTGAAAAAAAAATCTATAAATTTAATTTGCGTACAAGTGTTGACGGCGTAATTGCTAGTTACAGTAGCATAGCGATTGTAAGGAGCAGGGCCCTCCTAACCCTCTTGTATTTAACTGTATTTTTGCTGTATTGTCTCCCATTATATTGTAAAGCGCTGAGCAAACTGTTTGCACTATATAAATCCTGTATAATAATAGTGATGAAAAGCAAAAAATGGCCTGATCATGAAAGGTTAAAACTTTCCGGAGGGCAAGTGGATAGATGTGAGGATGGATACAGGGATGCGAAAAAACTCACAACCAAAGTTGAGGAAGAATTGAATTGAATTCCACTTGGGATGATAGTAACAATTACTGCAAAAGATGACTTGGTATGTTCAGCAGAAGACCTGGCCTCCTGCCCTTTGAAGTCAGGGACAGTGCGCTCCATGAGCAGCTGTGCCGCACCCTTCTCTATTATCTAAAAAGCACATTTATGTAATACAAACATTCCTTTGTAAAGTGTATGTAAATCCTAACAATTAACCTCTCTTATTTGCTACCTTCTGCTCTGTAAAATATATCATTGGAAGTATTTGGTCATGTGTTTGATAAGTGCAAAAAATACCTATTGGTCATGTCAGAAACTCAGAACTATCCTGTGTATTATCCTCAGCAGAGGCGTCCCTAGGGTTGGTGTCACCCGGTGCGATAACACTTGGTGATACCCCCTCCGACGATCCCCGCAGAATGGATCGGATCTGCGGATTGAGCATAATGGATCGGACTCCGATCCATTATGCTCAATCCGCAGATCCGATCCATCCTGCAGGGATCATTGGCTTTCTTTACCACTTACCTTTTCTTGGAGCGGGTCCGGTGTCACCCCGTATAGGTTGCATGCCGGTGATCCCAGCAGGATGGTTTCGGATCTGAGGAGTGAGCATAATGGATCAGAGTCCGATCCATTATGCTCCCCAGTCCGCAGATCCGATCCATCCTGCAAGGATCGTCGGCATGCAACCTATACGGGGTGACACCGTACCCGCTCCAAGAAAAGGTAAGTTGTAAAGAAAGCCGATGATCCCCGCCGGATGGATCCGATCCATGCGGCGGAGATCGTTTGCTTGCTTTACAACTTACCTTTTCGTGGAGTGGGTCCAGTGTCACCCCGTGCGGTCAGTGTCACCCGGTGTGGGCCGCACCCCCCTGCACCTGCCTCGGGATGCCAGTGATCCTCAGTATTACTTCAGAGAATCCAAATTGTTCTCCTAGTTCTTCTCTTACAGAACAATTAGTATTTGTGTTGTAGAAATGAAGAGAGCGGGAGGGTTTGAGTAGCTTAGCAAATAACAACTGGGCAGGGCTGACACCACTCAGCCGATAAGAAAGCTGTGTTTTTTTTAGCCCACAGCTGTTCTTAGGAGCTTAGTGCATTTCTTTCCAATCAACAGGTATTTTTCTGTAGTTGCAGGGCCTTTAACCCTTTTACTGCCATTGATGTACGTAGTATGTTGGTTGCGGTGGCAGTGAGGGGCTTTAACCATTTTACGCCGGTGCCTCCCAGCCCTTTAAGAGTTCCAGAAGCCAGGAGGCGGGTGGGGTTTCAGGGTCATGTGACTGGAGTGATTCGCCGTCACAGCGGTCACATGATTGGAAAAGGTCCCGATCGAAAGGGGAGATCGGGACCTTTCCGTGAGTCACAGCCATATGTGCTGGAAGTGTGCAGGGGTTCTCAGCACATATATATATTTTCTAATTGCATGCAAATATGCAGCCGCTCGGCATCAAGGCCCAGACGCCGAGAGGCCGGATATTTGCGTGCGATCGGCGTCAAGGGGTTAAACACACTCCTGGCAGCTGCTGAGATTGTATTTAAATCTCACAAGCTGACTTTTGCTGTCAGATGAAAGGGATTTGACAGCTGTGCAGCCTCCCATCAATGGACCCGGCCCTGTGTATAGGGGAAGAAGATCAGCCAACATCCACTTGCTGATTTCCCCTTCTTGCAAATGATCTGGAAGCGATGTGGAAATGTCACTTCTGAATTCTGGTGTCACTTTCTAGCTGAGGAAGAAACTACTGCCTGGGGAGGAAACAGCTGGAGTGCGATGTACATTCATTTCATTGGAGGACAGGTGAGGGTGAGGTCTTTTAGATCCTTGATGTCTCATCAAAGGGAACCTGTAACCAGGAGTGGACTGACAACTCATGGGGGCCCCCGGGCAATAGGGAATCATGGGGCCCCCGTGTCCTTGCCCACACTCAAAGTACACCCAAAAAAGCCTATATAAAAGGTACCAGGGGCATTACATGGGGCCCCCTACTGACCCCGGGCCCTCGGGCAGTGCCCGAGTGCCCCAATGGTCAGTCCGCCCCAGCCTGTAACAAAAAAGATGCATCACACAGGAAATGTTTTGTCCCCAATGTGATGTAAAAAAAAAGTGTAACAAATTAAAGATACACCCAAGCACATACAACCTCCCCCCCCCCCCCCAAAAAAAATGTTGAGCCCCACCCCCCATCCCCTTATACATGTACATAAGAACACAAATGCATAAATTCAGGGGTGTGTACACATGAAAACATTGGTTACAGAATGAGAGCATTCCAAGGCCATTGTTTATGGTTAACTCTATACTGTTGACATTTAGGAGCTTTTAAAGCATCAAGGAAAACAACAGAGGGCGCCAACTAAGTGGAGTATATAGGAAAATACTATTAACCCCTTCACATCGATGTCACACAAATATGCGGCCTCACAGAACTGAGCTTTTTTCTGTGGGGCTGCATATTTGCGCACCTGTCTTTGTGCTGGGAGAGTGCCGCACAGCGCGCTCCCAGCACAAAGACCGGGGTGTCGCTGAGAGCCCCGGGACCCAATCGAATAATATTATAATAATATAATTATAATCGGGACCAGGGACTCCTGATTCCGGGTTACATGATTGCTGTGATAGCCTCTGATGATCACAGTGATCATTCACTGTACAGCCCAGCCCCCTTGGTTTTTTTTTCTCTCCATGAATGGAGGAGAGAGATACATTGTATTATAACTCCTGGCACAGATGGAAAAAAATGTTTGTGCAAAAAAAAAAAAAAGGTAAATAACTAAATATTAACAAATAAAAATAAAAAATAAAGAAAACATACCTAGATCAAGGTTTGATCTAGTTCAGTGCCAGGGTAAGTGTTTAGGTCAAGGTCAAAAGGTCAGGGTCAAAGGTCATGATTTTTTTTTTTTTCTTTTTTTAACATTGGTATTAGTGTCAGTTAGTGTTAGTGTGTTTTAGGTAAACAAAAAACAAAATGCGCACTATTGTTTCTGGGCTGTACTACGGGTACAAACAACAAATAACATACACATATATGGTTTTGCAGCGATCGTCAAGAGCTGGAAAATTTATTTTGAGTTGTTCTTTGGTGGTAGGTTATGGTAGTAACAAGAAACACACAGCTAAATTAAAAAAAAATTTTTTTTTTTTACTATTTTGGCCCAATTTTCCTTTGTCAATAAAACAAAAAATCAGGAGATATCCATTACCATTTACCACCAAATGAAAGCCCAATTTGACCTGAAAAAAAACCAAGGTATAATCCACCTGGATGTACAAAGTAATAGTGATGATATGTACGGTTTTATAAAACACATGTCAATGTTGCAAAATTGTGCTTAGGCGTTAAGATTTGTTTTACCCTTAGGCATGAAGGGGTTAAAAAATCACTAATGGTAAGGGCTCGTTCACACTTGACTTTATTTCTAATTCTTGCCAAAGCTCATATAGCATTTGACAGGCTTTAGACAAGCTTTTGGGAAGCGTTTTTAACTTTTTTTTTTAGTTTTTGTTATAAAATTTTGTAAATGAGTATTTTTTTTTCCTTCACTGATGTGCGCTAATGAGGCTGCAGTGATGGGCACTGATAGGCGGCACTGATAGGCGGAACTGATGGGCACTGATGAGGAGGCATTGGTAGGTGGCACTGATGGGCATTGACAGGCATCACTGGTGGGCATTCACAGACATCACTGAAAGGCAGTACTCATATGGCACTGATAGGCGACACTGAATGGCACTGATAGGCAGCACTGTTAGGCGGCACTGACAGGCACTGATAGGTGGCACTGGCTGACACTGATAGGCGGCACTGATTGGCAGCTCAGATGGGTACTGATATGTGGCATTGATGTGCACTGGTAGGCACTGATATGTGGCATTGAAATGCACTGACAGGCGGCATTGATGGGCAATGACAGGTGGTATTAATGGACACTGACAGGTGGCACTGATGGGGCTGAACTAATTATCAGGGCACTGATCATCAGTTCCCTGATGATCAGTGTAGATGTCCCCTCTGAGAAATGCCGATTACCATCTCTCCTCTCCTCACAAGCTGTCAGCGTGACGAGAGGAATGCCTATAACCGGCATTTCCTTATTTACATACGATCAGCTTTGATTGGACACCTCGGGGGCGCCCACGCGCGGTTAGAGTGGGAGGACGTCATATGAGGTTCTCCCAGAACGAGAGAACCGCCTTGTGCACGTCGTTTCCTTATATGCGGGGCGGGAGGCCGTTAAATGTGTGTTCAAATAAATGCAAAAATGTCTGTGGCAGCGAAAGAGTTAAAGGGATAAAACATGGGGAAATGTACATGTATTGCAGAGATGCATTATATATGTTTTCTGTTTATTATGGCCTGACATACATTTTGAAGAAAAAGCTGTACCTACAGAATCATGCACATCCAACCACTCTTTCATGTTTATGGTCAGCTAAAAAAAATCAAGCAAAATCAAGCAAACAATGACCACCAGGCTCTATCCTCGTGCATTTAGAAGGTCAGTTTCACAAAATCTAGTTTGCTGTATACTAAATACAGCTGCGGCAGCAGCTAATTACTGTTTAGAAAAAGCTAACGGTGGTATGGCAGCGAGTACATTATTTATATGTTATCTGGCAGACAGATGTCCTCGTGTCCCTGATTTCAATTTATTTAAGTAACTTCTCAGACAAACCGCTCTTGAGAGATAATTGAGAAATTGCTCAGAAGCAAGTCCCAAATTCAGCCTCAACCAGAATAAATAAGTGGGTTTATGTCAGCAAAAATCAGATAACCATATGACTGCAATTTGTGTGATTTGATTGGGAAGTTTATATTTTAATCCACTATTAAAATCCCTATAATAAGCAGGTTTATTCATCTTCTTTTACATCTTTAGCTTAAGGATAATTGTACTTTTAGTGCTGTTATCCTTTAACCGCTTTTTGATCGCCCTATCGCAGAACTACTGCTACAGGGCGTCAGGGCTGCGCACAATCACATATATATACGTGATTTTGCATTCACGGGTGGGGGCAAACGCCGCCCTACCCGTGCCACCATTGGCAGCTACAGCTGTTGATCACCGGGTCCCAGCCTGCGATTCCCTGCCGGCACCCAGTGATCGCTGAGGAACACTGACAGGGGAGAGGTCTGTATGTAAACAATAGAGATATCTTCCCTGTCAGCACCAGCATGCTGTTTTGTATTGTTCTGCATAGCAGCATGTTTACATAGTAAAACAGCACACAGCACATAATGTGAAACACAGCACAGCACACAGTTGACCCCTTGATAGCCCCAGATGTTAACCCCTTCCTGCCCAGTGTCATTAGTACAGTGTCAGTGCTTTTTATTAGCACTGATCATTGTATTAGTGTCACTTGGGATGTCAGTGGCAGTTAGGCAGTTCCCACCCAGTGTCAGACTGCCCGCCGCAGTCCAGCTATAAGTCGCTGATTGCCGTATTCCAGTATATATACCACCATTTGTAGATGCAATAACTTTCACGTAAACCAATTAATTTACAGGTATTGGTATTTGTTTTTAGCAAAGGCATGTAGCAGAATACATTCTGGCCTAAATTTATGACGAAATATGATTTTTTTTACTGGATATGTTTTAAAGCAAAAAGTCAAAAATATTGTTTTTCTTTTTCAAAATTGTCAGTCTTTGTTTATAGAGCAAAAAAAGAGCAGAGGTGACCAAATACCATGGAAAGAAGCTCCATTTGTGGGAAAAAAGGACGTAAGTTTCATTTGGTTGCAGCGTTGCGTGACCGCGCAATTGTCAGTTAAATAAACAGTTAAATACGGTTAAATTAACCGTATCGCAAAAAATGGCCTGGTCAGGAAGGGGGGTAAATCCTCTGGAGGGCAAGTGGTTAAATAGCCATCTACTGAAGAAGGAATGGAGCTAAAAGGGAGGAGGGAATTTGTGCCCTGGCCAGAACTGATAATATATGCTGGGTTGGTGGCCGTAAGTGGAGATACATAACTGTGTAGACAATGAACAGAGCAGGACCCACAATCAGTAACATGCTGGGCATTATATAGCTACCTGTTCCCAGCACAAACGTCCTTTATGGCTCTGCAATGTCATGTGACCAAATGCCAAGAGCGGAAAAGGAAGTTGATGCTGGAAGGTGTGAAAGGCGTGTTAACATAGACCAGTTTATTAAAGTGATACTAAACCTAAAAACGTTTTTTTAATGCATTACTTGCATCAAGGTAAAAAACCTTTTTATTTTCCCTGTGCCCCACCTTCCCTGTGTAAAGGTGAAGAGAGGGAAGAAGGGATCAGCGCTGTGCATGGCTGCATCTCTTCCCCCCTTGCTTCCTCTTCACACAGGGACAGCAGCAGCAGTCATTGGTTCTTGCTGCTGTCAATCAAATGCGGTGAAGAGGAAGTGGGGTGGGGGGCTAAGTTCCACTGTGTATATCTATGGAGCGCGGCTCCATAGACACACAGGTCAGGAGCGTGCATGCAGCGTGTGTCTCCTAGCTAACAGCTTGCTATGGGGGTCACACAAAGAAGAGGAAGAGACAAGATCGCTGATGGAGGAACCAAGAAGAGGAAGATCGGGCCCAGTCTGTGCAGAGCAGGTGAGTATAACAAGTTTGTTATTTTAATTGAAAAAAAAAATTTAGACTTTAAGGGGCACCCACCATTTACAATGTCACTGTGCTGCATTTTGCATGGTACACTCTCCTTCGCCCACAGAAATCCGTCTCTACCATGAAAGGGCTAGTTGGTTAGGTTTGCCCCTCAGACCAAAGGTTCCCAGTCCTTCAATGCTTATCCATCACCCCCCCTCTCAATCTTACACCCCCTTTTTCCATTTCTCATAGATCTTCACTGTGTAGCTTGCTTAGTTTTAACCTCTTCACACCGGCTGCACACAAATGTGTGGCCTCCCGGTGTCTGGGCCTAGACGCCAAGTGGCCGCACATTTCGTTCTATTAAAAAAGGACATATGTGCTGAGAGCGCTCTCCCAGCACACATATCCGGTACTCACGGAAAGGTCCTGATCTCCTCTTTCGATCGGGACCTTTCTTGATCATGTGACTGCTGTGACGACACGTCACAGCGGTCACATGACCCTAAACCCCGCCCCTGCCTCCCGGCTTCTGGAACCCTTAAAGGTTCAGGAGGCGCCGGCGTGAAAGGGGTTAATAAAAGAACTTTTACCTGTTCAGGAATCCAGAGCCACCCTCACCCAGGCCAGTTCATTGCTGGTCTTCAGGTCCTTGACACCATATGTTTACTTTGGGAAGCCAGTTGTGACTCTTTGTTGTGACACAGCTGGCTTCCCATTGGGAATGTGCAAACTGCGCTGTGCTTTGTGAATGGTCCTGCAGTCTTCTGGAACCTGTGACATGTCCCAGAAAAATGTTGGTAGGGGGCAAACTTCCACTCAGATTGCCTAGGTGATTCGGACAGGAGTGGGAGCGGGTACCTGTCAGGACCAGGTGTCCACTCCCCCCCCCAAAAAAAAACTATGTGCCAAATGTGGTAGAGAAGTGGGAGGAGGACATAGAGCTGATCTTTCCCTTTAAGGTGAAGTTCCATTTTACTTTTAATGGAATTAATTATTACAGATAGTTTTTTAGTATTTTTTGTGGCCTTTTGAGTAATAGATAAAAAAAAAACTATGCATATAATCATCATATATATACCCTAACAACATTATTTAAAAGGTAAAATTCATAACAATTAACTGACATATAAAACATACAGGATCGTTCAGTGCATAAATGGGTCTTAAATCATATTTAAACCTAAAAAAACCCATTACATTTATTGCAGCTTTCCAGTCCTTAGATGTGATGGCTCCATTATGGATCCCATCGTGAGCATAATGCAGCACATTCTACCATTTTTTCATTCACACAAAACCTGGAACTGACTGCGCTGGTGTACTAGGTCCATTTGCATACATGGAAAACACTTTGCATGCATTTCTGATGATGAAAAAAGGCTCTGGACAGCATCTGAACATGGAAAAGTAAAAAAAAAATTTCTAAATGCAAACGCTTATAAACACGGTTAACCGCATTTACAAGTGTTTGGCATTTGAAACGCCGGTAAAATCTACTCCTGAATGCAACGACTGTACACTCAACTGCCTGTAAATGACTGTAAATGACAGTGTACATGGACACATAGGAAAACATTAGAGAGAGTTAAGGGGCTGCTGAAAAAAAACACTCAACAGCTCCTGAATGTTAGTTTAGGGGTTGAAGTGTACATGAGCCCTCAATCCACCAGGCCTGATTGAAGTGGAGTCTGTATAACACTCATTGCTTCCTCCATAGATACAATAGAAAAATGAGTGCAGACAAGAAGGGACCATAAGTGTATTATTTGAAGAATCACCAGGTGAAAATAGAGGGGAAAAAGTTTTCATAAGTGGCAAATAGTAAAGTATGTGCAATTGTGTTTATTTGGTACAAGTGATTTTTGAACCATTTACATCGGTACTTGATATTTACTAACTAAGCATTAGAATATTGGCGCTGTACAATTAGGGTAAATTAATATACAGGTATTATTATTATACAGGATTTATATAGCGCCAACAGTTTGCTCAGCGCTTTACAATATAAATGACCCAAGTCAAAACCCAAAATCTCTTTAAAAGTGGAGGGACTAACTCATGGAGGGACTGCAGGAAATATATTGGGTCCCCCTTACCTTTACAGAGGTTGCCAGCCCTGATTGCAGTCCTAGAAGCACACTGACAAACTTGGCTCAGTCTAGGGGGGGTGTCTTTTGAAGATCTATTGCAGATCTTGAACAAATGCAGGGAGAAGCATTCAAAAACAGTTGCTACATGGCCAAAAAGTAAAAACAACTTGTTACACAGGGAAAATAGACTTGTCTCCAGCAACAGGATGTTTTTCATTAGCTTGATACGGCAAATGTTTTTTTTTTATCGGACAGATAAAGCCATGGGTTTTTTTTTAATTGTTACTGTTAATATAGAGAATACTGATAGCGTGATAATCTACAACTACAAGAGCTTGAACTGTGCAGGGTTGGAATTGATCTAGAGCTTTGATCTGTGTTTGTTGTTATGTCTTTTTTTAATCTTAACAGTTTCAGCCTAATTTTCCAGGAAATATATCGTCAGAAAGTCCAAGATTGGTTTTAATTTTATGTGTAACACACAAAAAAGACCTGGAGCTGTTTGAAAGAGGCATAATGTAGGAAGCGACACAGTTATGTTTTCCAAAGGGTGTGCAAACCAAAAAATAAGGCCACAAGGCAGCCCTTTCCTGCGGGTTTTGTGTGACAAACATTTATGGGGCCCCTGATATCTCATGCAAGATTTTTGACTATGCACTTCAAAACTGGATGAAGTGCTATTGAAACTATGCATTGCTAAATTTTTGTAATTTCATTCTTTGTAGGCTTTCAACATGAGCAACAGTAGATATCAGACACAGAACAAAAAAACAGATATGAAGGAAAGATAAATCCTGCTCTATTTTATAGATAATGTAAAGCAAGTGCACAACTGATAAATAGTGTGGGAGGGGAAGTCCTGGCCCCTTGACCTCATGGGCACAGAAGCAGCTGCCCCATTTTCCTGTCTTGCAATGGAGAGATCTGTAGGGAAAGGTGTAAACCCTATGGATCTTAAAATTGCTGTTGGGAAAAGGTGTCCTTCCAATAAGAGAGACCCCCTCATATCTTGTTCTAAATCAGGTTGTTAAGCTGAATTGAAGTATTAGCAAAAATATTTAAGCTTTGAAATATATAAATGTCCAACTCTTAAAAACTTCTCTGCCCTAGGCTGCAAGCTTCAGAGAAGAACCAATGCTCTCTGAATGAGACTGAATCCCCCTACTGAGCAAAAGCTAGAGCTCTGTAATCAGCAGGGAACATTACCTTTGCCGACTGCCTAGCTCTAGCTGTCACTAAAGCCGGCCATAGACAGTTCAAATCTCATCCGGTTCAGCAAGGACCAGCCAAGATTTGAACTATGTATGGGCAGGCTGAATGTTCTCAAGTTGATCAATCAATCAACTTGGGTGCAACCAGCCTGTCTGATTTTACATGCTAGCAGTAATCACTGTATTCTTCTAGTGGGGATGGCTTTCCCATCCCCCTTCAAGAGAACACAATGGCTTAGCGAGAGGGATTCCTCCATCAACACTGACCCATGTTTTCAGGAAAGAAAAGTGCTCCGTCTGTGGCCAGCTTAAACAAGAGGCGATGACCAATCTAGTAGGCTTCCCCCTTTATTTTTTTATTATATTGCGCCAACAATTTATGCAGCGATTTACATAGCGTAGTGTTCACATCAGTCTCTGCCTTCAAGGAGCTTACATTCTAAGGTCCCTATTTCACATGCATACATACATGCACAAACATACTAGGTCCAATATAGACAAGAGCAAATTAACCTACCAGCATGTGGTAGCAAGTGTAATACTTCCACT